ATTTAGTCTTTTATATGAATTCCCCTTCCGGTTCATTCATATAAACCAAATCAACTAGGAGGTGGCCAAGCTCCTAATTGCATTACGCATAATAACTCATAGACAATATGAAAATAAAWACAGCTTGGCTGAATTAAATAAAAATCAATCCATGGTCGTGGTTAGGCTTTTCACAGCCCTAGCTACAAATACATTAGTTCATGATAAAGGAAATTAAACAAACAAGGCATAAGAAAGAACTCATGATGTCGCCCCTTGAGGTTGAGATCAATGAACTCCTTGCCGCCGCCTTCCTCATTTTCTCCTCCTGCGTTGTCGACTGCCTTCTTGAAAACTGAAGCTCTCTTGGAGGATTTATCCTTGATTGCTCCAGAAATTTATTGATGCTCTGGTGCTAGTCCGCCCCCCCTTTATATAGCTTTAGGAGGAGGGGCTGTTTCCAACTCATTCTTAGAGTTCTTCCTCAAAAATAGAAAGTCCTAATCTAATCCTATCCTTATCTCTTATCTAGTAATCTCAATCTCCTTTATCTTTCTAGAATTACATCAGAAAATTAAATCTGATAGGACCTTTTGCAGTTTCTTATTCTTGCATTCGTATTAGGCTTCCTCAACGAATTGGGCCGCTGCAAGGCTTCTCTACGAGTTGGGCTTCTGTTGCGAACCGGGCTTCTCTACGAATTTGCTCAGATTTCGGGCCTGATTTTGACTTCGATACAGCCCGAATCTATCAAAACTCAAAAGGTGAAAGTTGTAGAGTTCTTCCTTATCTTTCCAATGCATCTTGAATCATCTCAATCGGAGTCCGGATGGGGAAGTTATGCCCAGATTACTACGCGGTGCCGAAACTGTGCAAAATTACCCGATTAGCCTTGTTTTTCTCCTGACGCCTTTTTTCATGCCCTGAATCGAAATACAAGAATAATGAGTCCAATTAAGTACTAATTAAGTGTAAAAGATTGTATATTTAGGGATAAAATTATGATAATTTTTATTCTCATCAATAATTAAGAAAAACATTGTAGAAAGGGAAGACTTCGAGTAGAAAACTTGAGAGCACTTTTTTTGTTATTTCATGGGAGGAGACTAGTATACAGAGGACATTGGTTTTGGAAACTTTGGTGAGTGATTGAACCCTAAAAACTTTTAAACGGGTTTACTCTCCACTGAACCTATATGTGAATCCGAGGACCACATTGGAGAGACCTTCCTCCTAGAGATTGTACCTAGCTGACTACCGCCAATGTCCTCTGTTTTCAAAGATGCCTTGCTCTCTACATCTTTCTTCTGTGCCGTCCTTCAGAAAACAATCTTCCATTTGCCTCTCTCTTCTCCCTTATCCATAGGACTACTAAACCTTAAAATCTAATTGTTGAGTATGAGAGAGCTAGGGTTTTTGCAAATTTGTTAATCATATCAGAACAATTGGAAAGGAACATAAGAAAAATTGACTCAGTGAAAAGATTTTACTCCATTGAGTTTATAAACTATATGTGTCAAGCATAAAAACATGTGCTAGATGTAGCATCATGGTATCTTTTATCAATATTTGTTCTTTTTCTTTTAATTGTATTAATATCCCAAACAAAAGAACTGGTTGATTGAGCATGGAAAATCTAATTGACTCAGTAAGAACTTTTAATCCATTGAATTTATAAATTATGTGCCAAGCATGTTGAATCTATTGAGTGGACAGAATTCAAATAAGTTGCGTGTTCAAAATTAATTTTTTCCTTGAACTTTTGATGGCTTTGAAAAGTTCTCCACAGTTTTCTGAAGTCTGGCAAGGCTCTAAAAGATATTATCCATGTATATCTATGCAACATGTAGAAATTCTCTTATTTTTGTAACCATTTATTTTAATCTAATTTTCATATGCAATACTTCCTAAAGTAACTTCAACCTATGTCTCTACACCAACTAGTTAAATTGAGCTTCTGTGTTCAAAAGTACTGGTACTTGGTACATGTTTGGAATATCAAATTCAGGGTATATTATGCATTGGTTTTCTTAAACGTACTTGGGAACAAAAAGAAATCACAAGGGAGAAAGCGGTAAAGGATTTGGAGGTAAGCCATTATATAGTTGTGGAGAGTTCACTATATACTAGAATTCTTATTCCTTTTTGGTGGGGTCTGATTTGGTTTCCTGTTGCTTGTAATTTCCATGTTTTAAAACTTTCTAATTCTCATAAGTAAGAAGTTTGTTTGATTGAAGATTGTCCATTATATAAATTTCAACCCCATATTGTAGGGGGACCATAATGATTTGTTTCAATTACTCCAGTGTGTTGTGAAATAGAATGAAAATGAACCAGAACACCCTTAACATCATTACAATACATTTACTGAAAAGGTCAATGTGATGTTAAATTTCTCTACTTAATGTCATTTCTTCTCATTCAGGATTACCTTCCCAAATACAAGTTGGTTTTATTTACTTTGGTAATAGAGTATGGAGAAACAGTTCTTTCATAGGTGTTCAAGTGAATACCTATAAGGGGCATTTTTGTCCTTTGAGTTTGGCATTATATTTCCCCTGTTAAGAATCTATTAATAGGTGACTAGGCAACAAGGCGCCCCCTGTCACCCAGCCTTGCCTTGGCAATTGGCGCCTTGAAAACTATGTGACTAGTTGAGGGTTGCACTAACTACTTTTGTACAATTCAGCTTGTTATCAATTGCCAGTTTTGACCTGCTTGTAAACAAACTAATTCCAATTTGTACCAAATCATGTAGGCTAGAGCCTTTTCTTATAGTTCAATTGCTAGTTTATAATGGATTCCTATTTCCTATTATCAACAAATGCACATGCAAATGCTCTAGTTGGACTACTGGAGGAATCAGTAGATGGTCTTTCTTTTGTGGAACACACCCTAACCTGACCTAATGTTTTTCTTTCTGTTGATTATCTTATACTGGTTGTGTATGTGGAGAAGAGCAGTAGTGGGGCTAGCTGCTCTCTTTCCTCAATTGAGGGGAGGGTTGATAGCTCTTTTTTTCTGTAATTCCTTGTACACCTTTGGTGTTTCTGATTTAAATAAAATTATGATGTTTCTTATCCAAGAAAAACACCTAACTAGTTGTAACTTAGTTTTATGAACTCTTATTTGTTATCTCTTTTTTCATTTTGATGAAACTAAATGAATGAAAACCAGGATAATAAAGTTTCAGTCTTGTAAGAAGCTTCTAAGTTTTTGCATTCTTGTATGCACTCGTAAATGCATTGGTCAATGACTTATCTCCAATTCCTGACTTTCTTTCTTGGGTCCATGACGAGGTCTTTGCCTTGTTGATAGTTGAATCAAGTTTTAGTGTCATAGTCCAGTAAAATCGAGCTTGATTCCAACATTGAAGTGAAATCAAATAATGTTGATGTCACCTGATGTCTTTTAAATGAATGTGGTAATTCTTGATCTTACACACCAACTAACCTACATTTTCTAGGTTCAGTTTAGCATAAACCAAATCATTTTTCTTTTTTTTTTGTTTAACACAATTCAAATTGAGTTATTCACATTCTGGATGGATTTCTAGCTAATTCAGCTTTAGATTTTCTCATCTGCAAGAATCAATTGATACCTTATGCTTTATTTGTTTTCATCTTTTTATACTTAAATTGAATGAAATATTATTCTTGTTGGATAATGAGATTTGCTTTTCCTGTCATGGGCATCTTACAATAGTAATATACAATCTCTTTTTTTGAGTAATTTGTGCATGGCTTTTTATTATTCTTATTGCTTGTTCAATTGGAAGAGTATGAAATTATAAAACAAAAAATTATGAATGTTCTTCATCCCTTTGTTTAGGCTATTGATCTTATGTACTTATCATTATCATAGGTTCTATTTTATGGTTCTAAATTAGGTGGTGAGAAACCTTTTAGTAAGCCTTCTTCACATGTTAGATGATTTTATCAAATCATTTACTCACTGATTTGAGCTCCTACCATGTTTATTTGGCAACAAATACTGCTAATAAGTTCTAGAGTAAGGTGGTGATAGATGACCAGACAGGAGGCAAACCTCTTACATTACATTCCAATTACCAAGACTCAAAGGTTTTTTCTTATATTGGTTCAGAAAACTTCAGGGCATTTAATTCTACATCAACTAAAGGGTCCATTGAATTCATTTACAGAAATAGTGATTTGCAAATGGACAATGGGAAATCCAAAAAGAGAGGTTTATATTTGCTCTACCTGTCATGCATTTACTTTTTTCCTTTGTTGTTTTTGGTTGATATTTTCTTCTTTTAGGAACAAGTGGCATTCCCTGGCCTGGGAACTCTCGGTGTTATATCTGAGGCCACCACCATGTCCGGTGAGTAACAAAATACAAGAGGGTACTGCAGTCAATCCAAATACAGCTTCAACCATTAAGGAGATCACAACCTCCTTAATAACTTGTTCATTAAAAGACAAAGCAACAAATCATTCATTCAGCCACTTCAACTATTTCAAACTTCCCCTTAAGTTTGATTTGAACTACCATGATTCATTGTTTATTGTATTGATTTTGCTTTGATAGGTTTTGGAGAGTTTAGAATTTGTGGATCATACACAAAATTTGTTTGGACACATTGAAAATTGTAATAGAATTGTCCTGTCAGGAGATGAATTGACATCTTGAACAGTGAAATTTGTCATCAAAGTGGATCATTTTCATCTTTAAGTTTTGCTTGGAAGGTTTACATGATATCAAATTATTCTTGGCCTTGCATATAGACCATTATCAAATTGTTCTTGAAGGTTTCCGTGATATCAGAATAAATGTCTACCATGAGTACTATAGTCCAATGGGTGGTGTGAATGATGATCTAAAGAACAGGAAGAAGAAGACGAAGCCATTCTTGCAGGTAATATCAAACTCCTCTTTTGCTTTCCATCTTGGTATTGTTTGACTGGTTGTCCAAGCTCAAGTACTCATTAGTATTTGCATTATTGGGACTTTCATTCCTGTTCTCATTTCTAGCTCTATGAATTAGGAGCTTCAAGGATGGCCTTAGATTCATCAAATTTCACACAAAGGTTCATGACAGAAATAGAAATTTACCTCCAAGAACATTTGAGTGGTGTCGTTGGTTTGGCTTTCTCTTGCTAGGTATACCAATTAATTTAGTTTTGATGGAATAGTGATGATAGGTATACCAAATTTGAGAGGGACTTGCAAAGCTTCATACACTGCTTTTATGTCATCCTTTTTTCTTGTCCCACACTCAGATCAGTAACTAAAATATCATTAAAAGTGTAAACAATAAACTATTACTAGAACTCTAAACACCTAAGATGGAGAAAGCCTCATTTTCTTGTGAAACTTAAAAGCATAGAACTGAAATTTTCGCTTAGGGAGAATTCAGTCTCTTGCCTCAAAAATAAAACCATATAGGCAGCCAAATAGACTTCCCTTTCTTTGAAATCCAGCGCCAACAAAGTGGGTTGCACTTTTTTCTTCTTTATCAAGATAAGAAAAGAGATATTGTTTAAGTTAACATGAACATAATGCAAGTGCCGTTATGATGGGTTTTATCTTCTAACTTTTGTTGTTTCAATTGAGTTGGATTGTTGAGCATTTTGAGATTTTCTCTTTCTTGAATTTCCTTTTACATTTTTTAAAGTTAATTCCCTAATATATGTATCATTTTTTTCTCTTTTGTACAGGTAATTGAAGTGAAGAGTTTAAATCAAGAAGACTATTTCATCCAACTATCAATTTTGAAGAATATAACAAAGTTTATTTTATTTTGGACAACATATGAATTATTAGTTTAAGTTAATTTTATGAAAAACATATTGTAATTTTTGAGAGGATGGGGACTTGTATTTATTTGAATATTTGTATTTAGTGAATCTTGTTGTTATTATAATTATTAATAAAGATTTTTTTTTTAATTTTGCACCTATTTAGATGAAAATAATTTTAACTATGCAATATGTCAATTATTTGTAATTGGATAAATTCCATTTAACCAATGACCGTATAAAGTGATCATTATTATAATTGCATTACATCCAAAAATAAGAACAATAGTGCTGATATATATTGGTTATTAGTTTTAAATTTAGTGACGACAATATTTTTTAGTCGTTGTAATGTTTCAAGTAGTGACAGAATATGTTGTCACTAATAGTTCTGCAATCATTGGTGACAATCGTAATAGTGACGGCATAAGTTGTCGTTAATGGCTTTGAATTGATAGTCACAAGAACATGAATTGCTGTTAATGGTTTTGAATTAATAACGACGAGAAAATGAGTTGTCATTAATGGTTTTGAATTAATAGTGACAAGTTTTTTCGTTGATATTGTAAAACTTTTAACAACAGGTTGCATCTCTGTCGTTAATAAATTTTAGCAATTAAAATTTTCAACTCGTCGCCTAAACTTTTAGTGACAAGGCTTTTAACAACAGGTAGTGACGACATATATTCTCGTCGTTAAAAACTTTTAATGACTGAATTTGAACTTTTAGCAATGGTTTTTCTAATCGCTAAAAACCTAATTTCTTGTAGTGGATGTTATAGTCCGTGGAGATTAAGCAAATCTTCATCCTAGCCTTCCAATAGGTAAAATCAACACCATAAAAAACTAGAGACTAAAATATTAAATATCCCTTGGCAAATGGAGCATTAAATTGGGTGGCCATTTTTCACCAGCTATTAAGCTTGTGGATAGGTGAACCTACCCTGATATCACTTGTTGGAACCAATAACCTTATCCAAAAAAGAGTGTTGGAACATAATTCAAATTCACCAACTATTCAACAATTAAGCTTAGAACCCTTTCCCTTAATCTGAACTAAAGCCTTTTGACAATTAGTTATAGTGGAAGTATAAGGATTGGTCAATAAGGTTCAACAATTGATCAAGACAAAACACTTGAATCAACCAAACTATTAAACACAAGGTCATGCAGCTACAAAACAGATAAACAAATATGGTAGTAGGAGCTACAAGGGTCAACAACCAACAATAAAGGAAAATAGTAAATATATATAAAGATGGATAACAAGAAGATAGCAGCTGATAAATAAATTAAATAGTTAAAGAACAATAACTTGGTATCAAATTAGTTGATATACAATTAGTAAACAATAAAAACAATTTTAGAAATGTAAGGAGAAGTTGAAATGTAAATAAATGTAATAGTCCTAGTGATATGTGCCTTTGTATCGAGAGGACCAACCACAAACAAGTAGTAATGAAATGGACCTGCTTTAAATGATAGCTGATATATGGACCAACTATCAAGATAATCAAAACTAACTACAAAATGTAAGTGTTGTTAAAATATAAATGAACAATAAACGTAAACAACAAAACAATAAAAGAAAAGGTAGATAATAAGTTAGTGTAGTGAACGGAGTTAGTAAAGTTTGTAGTTTAAACTGCACTAGCCTTCCTTATATCTTGCAGATATAAAAAGAAGACAAGAAAATAAAGTGCAAGTTTGCAAGATCTCAAGGTTTCAAGTCTTGTAGTTAAGACAAGTTAGTAAAGAAAAATAAACTATAAACTTGAAAGTAAAGAAACAAAATCAAGAAGACATACCAAGATTTTTATAGAGCTTCAACCAATCTTGCTTACTTCCTCTACGTCAAACCACCACCAAGCCTTTACAACTAGTAGGATTTCATGGGTGCTTGATATACATTTTTAGTTGGACTTACACTAGGTGCCAATAAGATCCAAACTAGTTGTCAGCATCCGATTTTTTCTCGGTCCATCTCCTGAACCTCTAATTCACCCCAAATTCTCGAACCCTTGACCTTTCCAAAACACCCTAAAAACCCAAAAATCCCAAATTTCACCCCAAGAGCCCTCAAATCCACTGTTAGACCTATCCGATGGCCCCAATCAACCCCCACTTACACCTCAACCATTAGATTAGACCCAAGACCTCCCAAAACACCTACCCATGAAATTTGAACTCAAAATTCCTTCCTTCACCCATCCATCAAGCAAAGATTCCTTTTTGACCCCTCTCGCACCCACAACTCATATCCACTTGATCCAAACACATCTAAACAAATCAAGCCCCACCAATCAACTCAAAATGTCCGAAAACCCCACCCCGTCAAATTTCAATCAAAAATACCTTCATTTACGCTTCCATCTAAGAAGATTTCATTTCAGCCAATCTCATTGGCCCACACATGCACGGCCCCACTCCACGGTCAAACCCATCTCAACCCTCCATTTGATGGACCATAATTCCCCGCCATTGAACCAGAAGGCACAGCTTGACCCTCCTAGACCCGATTTGACCCATTTCCTTAAAATTACCAAAATACCCCTGACAAAATTTCCAAATTACCCCTTGCACCAAATTCACAAAATACCCCTTGGACCAAATTCACAAAATACCCCATGGACCAATTACCAAAATACCCCCTCATCCAAATTCTCAAAATGCCCCCCTTAACCAAAATTACCAAAATACCCTTCATTTTAAATACCTAAGACTACCACCCAAATTCTCCACATACCTTAAATTCCCAATTCCCAAAATACCTTGGGCCAAATTACCAAAATACCCTTCAAAGCCAAAATTGCCAAAATACCCCTTCTTCCAAATTTATGAAATACCCCCTTATACAAATTCCCAAAATACCCTTTGCTCAAATTCCCAAAAATCCCCTTTATTTCCAAATTCCTAAAATTATCCCTTCTAAAATTACCAAAATGCCCTTCATTCCTCAAATTACCTAAATACCCCTCTAAGCTTACCCATTTGAACCCCAAATTACCAATGTGCCTTCTAAACCCAAATTACTAAATTATCCTTTTACCCCAAATTACCGAATTACCCCCAAGACCATAAATAACCAAAATCCCCCCATCCCAAATTATCGTTTTTACTCTTGAAGACCCATCTTGGCAAGATACCCCCCAAGCCCTAGCTTACCTACCAAATCCCCCTTTTCTTTTAGGCTCAATTTAGTAGCAGTACAAATGCAAATATGTACAAGGTAAATACATACAAAATATAAGGTTTTGCATTCTACATATTTGCATTTGTACTCCTTCCAAACTCAGCCTTAATTTTTTTTAGAAGCCCCCTTTCCTTTCCATTATAAATGGGAAGCACCGTTCCCAAGAGAGAGAGAGGTCGAAGGGGGCTATCTCAGTGCTTTCCTTTTGAGGAGCTATTGAGTTGAGAATTAAGAAGGTGAGAGTAGGAGGTCGAAGGAGTTCGACTGAGTGAGGGAGACTAAAGGAGAGAGAGAGAGAGAGAGAGAGAGAGAGAGAGGGAGAGCATAGGAAATCGAGAGTCTGAGACAAAGAGAACTGAGAAAGAGAGGAAAGTAGAGAGAAGGAAGAAAGAGATTGGACGAGAGCAGTTTCAAGAGAGAGAGAGCTCAGGGAGAGTAGAGACGATGAGAGAGAGTGTGCATAAAAGAGGGGGAAATTGAGAGAACAACAAAGAAGAGAAGGTTGTAGAGGCACTATTGAGTTGAACTAATTTCAGTGAGAGGGTGAGTAGGGTTTGGCATCGGGGAAGAGGATCTCTTTGATTTTCATCTCCAAACTAGCGTATAGAGAACGTTGATAGTGTCGATTCATTGCTCTTGTTGCTGTATTATACTTTCAGTGATTTCGACTTAATAAATCCTTTACCTCATCTCCTCTTGTTCAAAGTTATTTTTGGCAAATGGTTAGTTTTTTTTTTAATTTTGTTTTTCTTGTTTCTTTTTGTTTTTCTCTCCTAGCAGCTTGTTGTCTTTGATTTGTTCATCTTTATCTTCAACTTAAATTCGAACTTGAGAACCATCGGGTCCTCCATTGGCTAAGAGATTGTTGTGATTTTCTTGTTTTATCCTTCAGCCCCATTAGCTAAGTATGAAGGTGGGTTCTGATAGAAAAGAGGTGAGAATTCATCCTTTTGCTCAGGCCTCTACGTCCAAAAGGCATCGGTTTGGAGGGGAGAAGAGAAAATGCTATATCATTTTGAATCTGTGGAGAACTTGGGCTCTCATTTTGAATTGAAAACAAAGAGGGAATTTCAGCATTCATACTGACCAGAGAGAGGGGTGCCTAACCCCTTCCCTCTCTCTCTCTCTCATCTTACCCAAAATAGCCTTGTCTTGGTCGGGTAGTATGGAGTCACTATCAGTTCCGGAATGTTTTACCGAATACAATTCTGGGAGGCCCAACACTTCCAGTTATTTGTTTTTGATGGGTGGCAACTCCATCTCCATGTCATGAAGTGAACTGCTGGGGGGCATTTTCCCAACGTTCACACTAGTAGGGCTTCTAAGTGCTTGCAAGACCTTATAGTTGGGCTTAATAAAGATGCTAAGAAGACCTTAATGGTGTTCAACAAATTTGAACAACTACCTGCTCAAAGATCTTCCACTAGTAACATAGGAATAAGCTTATAATGCAATAGTAGCCTCTTAATAAGTATATATAGACTATTATAGTTCAAACTAACTCAGTTGCTAGAGTTTCACAAATGCTTAGCTCAAGGAAGAGGATCCCAAAGATAGGTTAGGAAGAGCCCAAAGGCTTCAACAAAGATCACCTCTAAAATAGATGAATAAAAAAGATCTCCAAAAAGACTTCATCTCTATCTTGCTCTCTTTAAAAAACAACTATATACAACATGTGCAAGTGAAAGCATAGGTTGTTTTCACAAGTTTGATTCAAAATTTGGTTCTCAATATCTTGTTTTTGAATCAATTAAGATCCTCTATTTCTAGAAGGTTGAGATCAAGTGACCATTTTTTAGCTATTAAAGGGATTTTACCTGTTTAGGAAATGATTTTAATTTCCTCAGCTCATTAGAGGCTTTTCGGATTTAGTAGTAGCCATTGAAGCCTTCAAACGATTAAATTTCTTCATGGTAGACGATTGCACTATTCGGATAGTCAACTATAACACAAAGGG